TGTGCCGCAGCTAAGCGAGGTTGGAAGTCCCCGTTTTAAATTGAAAATTGAAGATCCCTCATAGTTCATTTGCTCGGGTCAAGTTTCAATGAAATGGAGTTCTGAATTTTCAATTCTTAATTCATCCACTCGAAGCATGAGGAGAGTAATCTTAGGCAGTGTTTTCCTTTGCTTTTGAGAAGCACTTTCGACTTTTTTTATTAAAAAAAAGCTATTTGAGTGTTTGCAAAGAATAGATTCAACTTAAATAAAAGTGATTCTATGGTAAAAGCTGGAAGCACCTTTCACCATGCTTCTATCTGCTTTTTTGGGTTTATGGTAAATAAATACAAATTTATTCCATCACTTTTCCCCTTATATCCAACCCTACCCTTCTCAAGCATCTCTGATGTCTGTCTTCTCCGTCTTCTCAAACATCACCCTGTCGCAGCATCCCCTCAATTTCTTTATCTTCTCCGTCTCTGTGTCACACATCCCCATCTGCAAAAATTGGGGAATGTTTTTGGAGGATTGCTGGAACTGAATAAATTTGTGGAGCTTTTCCGTTCACCCAAAATTAAAACAATTTTCTAGCAGTTAATGATGGGTGCTCTCTCCACAGTAATAAGCCTGAGGAAGAAACGAGTTTGCCGGAGGGAGGGTGTTCTCTCCAGACTATGCCGACTATTTGGGGAAGGGGAAGAATCCAAATTGCATTTGTTCACTATTTGTAGTGCTGCAACCTACTGTAATCGATTTTGTTGTTATAGCAGAGGGTTAGATTTCGTTTTTTGTTGTTGAAATACACATACAAAAGAAATTAGAAATCAGGAACAGTGCGTATGAGAATTGAAAGCTTTGTCGCAGACTCGCAGGGAGGGTGACGTTATACGGAGTATTACAGTTGTTGTATGAAGGTGAGGCTGGTGAGCATGAATAATGAGGGAAGGATAATTTTGTATTTTCAGGAAACATATAATTTCACAATCACTTTTTTACCAAACATTCCAACTTTAACTTTTACACTTTAATCACTTCTACTCTAAAACACTCCCAACTTTTATCATTAATCACTTTCTCAAAAATCACTTTACAAAAGCACTTCTAAAAAAGTTAAGCAATAGCAAACATAGCCTTAAAATTGAAAGTTCCAACCTGTAAATGGATGTTTTCTAAATGGATTTTGTCTGAACTTTCTAAATTAACTTTTTCGTCAAATGCGTGATCCTAAAAGGTAAAAACAAATGAAGAATTGAAGAACATGTATTGAGGAAAATTGATGGTGTTAATTTGTAGTGCTATATGTGCGTGAAAGATGAATTCATCTCCACCCACATTTTTTTACTAAATGAAAAAGGGAACTTTGTACTTTAATAAAAAAACTAAGTCAAAGATCATTCTTTTAATAAAAAAACTCCAACTTTCATACTCCCTCCGTTCATTATTTTCTTTCTCTTATTTCATTTTGGCATGTTTTTTATTTGTCCTCCTTTCCATTTAAGGAAAGTTTTTGTTAAAATACCCTCACTTTTATTATTTTTACCTCACTTACTTTTTACAAATTACTTTCTCTTTCATACTTTATCATCACTTTACTGTACTTAATACACTCTATTTCCTACTTTATCATCACTTTACTCTTTCTAATATACCTTCTTTCCTACTTTATCATTTATCTTACACACTCTATATTTACTCTACTACTTTACTATTAAAACCCGTGCCCAAGGCTAGCGGGACGGATAATAAAGAAGAGAGCGAGTATTTTTGCTACGATCACTTTTATTTAAAAGAAAACTACCACTTTTGCTACGGAGTACTCCCTCTGTTCTCTATTAGATGTCATTATAGTGTTTGGCACAAGTTTTAAGAGGAAAATAACAGGGGTAGTGTAAAGAGTGTAGTGAGTTGTGTTTAAATGAAAAAATAGGAAAAAGAATGAAAAAGTAGGAAAAAGAATGATGGTATATAAGTATATTTATTGATAAAACTTTCTAAAAATGGAAAGAGAAACATCTATTAGAGAACATCCCAAAATGGAAAGAGGGACAAGTATTGGAAGCGTATATAGTACAACCGGCTGTATGGTGCCAGCCGTACAGGTGGCGGCAAACTTGTAATTTTGGTGAAAATCTCGGATTCTCTTAAATGAGCATTGAATCAATTTTGATGAGCATCAGGATGTTCTTTTGAGTATTAGGAGCATAACGGTGAGCATTAGTGATATCTACTTCATTCCTCATATATCAAATTTTGTTTATTATTTTTTCGTTTATTAAAGTCTTAAATTATGTCTATAATCAAGTCCATTTAATTTCAATATGTAAACCTAGATTATGATAAGTTAACATGTGCAACCTTTTAAAATGAGCATAAAACAGTACCAAATGAGCACACGCACATAACTTACAAAATGAGTATCAAAATATTAAAAAACTCATTTGTGTGTGCTCATCCATTTGGGTGTTATACTCATTTAAGTTTAACATAAATCTCATTTTGAAATATCCATGAATGTGACATTTTACAATGAGTATTGCACATATATCAAATGAGCATACATAAATTACGAAATGAGCATTCAGAAAACTCATTTGAAATTTCTACTATGCTCATAATTTCATTTGTTATGCTCATATCTGAAGAATTACGTACAACTTAATTTTCTCTAAACTACGGCCAACAAGCTAGTGACCAAACTCAATCACCACACTTAGGTCAGAAAAAGAGAAAAAGGAAAAGGCCAGAGCAAGAAAGAGGGAGAAGAAGCAACTAGGGCTATACACCAGGAGGCGCCACTGCTCCAGGCGGTGTTGCGCTCGTGTTGGAGGTTGCGGCTGTCCAGAATCGTCATCTGCGTAGGCGGCGCGCGAAGAACGAGAATGATCTGCGATGGAAGCCCATGGACGCATGCGAACTGCGATGTAAGCCCAACGCCTGTGATTAGCGAACTAAAAGGCCGGTTGTACCGTGGGCACGGTGCAGCCGGCTGTATGATGGAATTTACCGACAAGTATTAGAGAAGGGAGTGAGTATTAAACACTTTTTAAAAATCACAAAAAATAGTTTTTTTGGAGAGTAGAAACAAGTGCACAACCCCTCGGGTAAATTATATCCTACAGCCGGTTGTACCTTGAGCATGATACAACTGAGTATTTTTGTAATATACTGGACTCTTGAGGTTGTTAACTAACAGGGAGTACATGAAGTGCAGGGAATACGATCGAGACTATAACGCTGGGCGGTCTGCTGCAGCACCGACTTCTAGAGCCATGGAGATAAGCGATTTGCAAGCTGAACTTCGATCTTTCTATTCTCCGGACGATGCCGCAAAAGCTTTAGAAAGTTGTTGTCGGATTTGAAGAACAAGCTTATGTCGCTAAGTTTGTAGCGAAGTTGACGGATCTGCCTTAGCTGGTTCGAATTACTAAAGATGTTTGGTTATTTGCAGAAAAGATCCCTAAAAATGTCTTCGTTGAAGACAAAATGATTACAAAACCTATGGATAGTCCTCTGCCGTCTACACAAACCAATTGAGATGATTTTTTCTTTAAACCACAAATTCCTACTCCTACACCATCATCAACGTCCTTATATTCATACACAAATTTGGATGATTTTATCTTAATTGAGCATGCACACATTAATATATATTTGAGCATACTAGATATTTTAAATGAGTTTTTTAATTTTTCGATGTTCATTTCATAAGTTATGTATGCTCATTTACTATTAGTGGAATACTCATTTAAAATTTTATATCCATGCATATTGGTGTAATGCTCAACTTTTCTTAATAACTTAAATCAGATTTTAAATGAGTTTTTGAATTTTTCGATACTCATTTTCTAAATTATGTATACTCATCCGGTACTTGTGTTATGATCATTTTAAAATGTCATATCAATGCCGACAAAATCCACAAGATCAGATTAGAGTTTGCTCACATAATCTCAATGTTCAATATCAGAAAACACGATACTCAATGAAGATGTTTTAATGCTCAAATGAGCATAGACAAATGAGGATTTGAGCAGATTAGTGATTTCAAATAGGATATTTCCTTTTGTACACGTTTTTATACCCATCAGTACACGCATGTGTCTGTGAGAGTCTTTTTTTGTTTGTGAAGCACAGTCCACAGACATAAGTTGGCTTGTTTTGTCTGTGAAATTTTCCACAGACAAAACAAGCCAGCTTTTGTCTGTGGACTGCGTTTCACAGACAAAAAATAACTCTCACAGACACATGCGTGTACTGATGGGTATAAAAACGTGTACACCAAGACTTACTCTTTCAAATAATGTTTTGAATTTTCCGATACTCATTTTGTAGGTCATGTATGCTCATTTGGTACAACATTATGCTCATTTTAAAATGTAAGTGAAATAGAAGACATGGTAACAGAGACCATAATACTCAATTGCAGATTTTTAATACTCAATAGATTAGGCTTAATTCTCAATGAAAATGTATTGATATTCAACTAGTAGAACGTATGATTTTCATATCAATGCATATTTAAGAAGTGCAATATTAAATTAAATTATCATATTGGAATTCATAATGGTTGATTATAGATATAATTTAATGGTTTTCATAAAAAGAAAAACATAAGAAAACGAAAGTGAATTAAAAGATATGAATCATAGATCACGATGTTCAATATTAGACTCTCAATACTCAACACAATAGGTTTGATGCTCATTAGAAGTGCATTAATGCTCATCTAACGAAAACCGCGATTTTCACTGAAATTACGAAAATGTCACCGTTTTTTAGTTGTGATATCAGTTTTCTTGTAATAACATGGTGCTCGTTAGTAGACGCTTAATACTCATTAAAATTGGATTATTGCTCATTAACAATACCTTAATGCTCATTTAGCAGAAAACATGATTTTCACATTAATTACAAAAATGCTACCGAATTACTCCATATTTTGCTATTTTTCCTTGGGCCCCGGTACTTGTGGGGTTGTATGGTACATCCCTGTTGTACAATATACTTACTTAACCCCTCGTGGCTTCGTCTCTGTTCGTCTTCACCATTCTCCGCCCTCTTCCCTTTGAACTTTTTACCCGGTCAACCTTAGGCCAACTAGTGTCTACTCGTGCCGGAGCTTTACTGAGCCGGACGATCGATTTCACCCCAGGTTCGGCCTTGTCCATGCTTCATATGGTAAGAATGAGCCTGATTCGAATGGAGGTGGCTCCTCCCATGCTTCGCCAATCATCACTCTATTGCAGAAATGGCAGTCGAAACGGCCAGCGGAGTCTCTGCTTCGCGAAGAGATCATTCTCAGTCTCCGCTTCAGCTACTGAATCCTGCGCTGCTCTGAAGAAGACAAAAGGAGAAGAAGTTCGTGTTCGTTTTGCGCCATCTCCTACTGGGAACCTCCACGTTGGAGGAGCAAGAACTGCCCTTTTCAACTACCTATTTGCCAGGTCAATAAGAGAACACCATATATTCGGCAATGGCTAATTCAGTGTCAATTGTAATTGAGCTATTGTGACAGGTCCAAGGGGGGAAAGTTTATCCTCCGAATTGAAGATACTGACTTGGAAAGATCAACAAAGGAATCTGAGGAAGCCGTGCTTTCTGATCTTTCTTGGCTTGGTCTTGAGTGGGATGAAGGTTCGGTCTCTAATCTTCTGTCAAAACTAAGCTGCTCATATTGGTGTGCAAGTTCCAGCTACTTTAAATGGCAAAATTGAAGCTTTTCTCTTTTTGAAACACCAATGGTGGTTGTCTACCCATTTTACCATCAGCATAAGTCAATAGGCTAAAAACGGAATAAATAATACTCCGTAGTAAAAAACCAACAACAACCACAACAACAATGATAAATTATTATTGAATTTGCTTACTTTCTTTTGTTTCTTTTTTTTGACATATCCCTTATCTATTCATAAACTCTTCTTTCTAATTCTTGCTTTTTGTGTGGGAGATTTCCAATCTATTATAAAGTTTTCCATTGTGTGGCAATTACATGGTGAATTGATGCCAGGTCCTGGCATTGGTGGAAGCTATGGACCATATAGGCAGTCTGAGAGGAATGCCCTTTACAAGGAGTATGCTGAAAAACTTTTACAATCTGGCCATGTTTATCGTTGTTTCTGCTCCAATGAGGTGATTATGCATAGGCATATGGGTTCATCACCATCAATTTGTTTTTCTCATTTTGACATTTTTTTAGTTTTTGTTATTGCTCTTTGTTTTTATCTACCACCATATGCTTAAATGTAGTAGGAACTGGAGAAAATGAAAGAGATTGCAAAATTGAAGCAGCTGCCTCCAGTATATACAGGAAAGTGGGCAAGAGCCACAGAGGAGGAAGTGCAAGAGGAGATGAAAAAGGGGACCCCTTATACATATCGGTTTCGAGTACCTAGTGAAGGGAGGCTGAAAATTGATGACCTCATCCGTGGTGAGGTTTGTTATTTTCTAAAACTGCTGTTACACCATGGCTCCGTCAATATCCTCTATATGTTTTTTTTTCAGCCCGTAGTATTATACCAAAAGAAGTGTGGACTGTGTGGTTATGAGACAGATATTACTGATTAAGTGAGTTTTTTTTACACAAAAGCGAATTTTTTTTATATTTTTTTGAACAGAAATGGGGTTCTATCAGTTAATAAATATTTTACCAAAATAGAAATCTTGGGAGTGGCAGTTTGGTTTTGTTTCCAGGAGAGTTGTTACTTTTTTGGAGTATTATTTGCATCTATAGGGAAACAGGTACCATGAATAGTGAGGATAGGTGCTTCCATCTTTTTAAAAGAGATGCAAGAGTGATGTAATGCAAGAAAATAAACGAGGAACATGGCCGGACATTATAAAGCTATACCACTCTCCTGACTCTTACCGTCTTATGCTTGATTGTTCCTTTTTACATCTGGAATCACATCTTGTACCATACAAAAGAGCTACTCTTTGAACTGCAACTTGATTCTTTCTATGGTGGATTATAATTTCGTTTGTGGCATCATGAAGGTAAGTTGGAATCTGGACACTCTTGGGGATTTTGTTATCATGAGAAGTAATGGACAACCCGTTTACAATTTTTGTGTCACTGTTGATGATGCTACCATGGCTATTTCACACGTCATAAGGTAAATGAGTGACTGTGCTTTAGAAGTAAACACCTCAGTGCATATTACTTAACTGATCCTCACTACTCTTGATGTTTCAGAGCAGAAGAACATTTACCCAACACAACTGAGACAAGCTTTAATATATAAGGTACTTCATCTTCTAAAGTTCCACCTGCTGCTCTTACTATTTTCCATTTTTTTCTTACATTGAGGGTGAGGATTTTTATAACATCAATGTCACCATGTTTCAGTCCCTTGGATTCCCAATGCCTTCCTTTGTTCCTTTGCACATGTTTCTTTGATTCTTGCCCCTGATAGAAGCAAACTCTCAAAACGACATGGTGCAAACTTCAGTGGGTCAGGTAGCTGGTTTATATATCATTTCAGTTTGTTTTTCATATACTTTTTGAGTTTGTTTTTCAATTTTATACTTTTTGAGATGGATCTTTCATTTTTGGACACTTAAGATGAATTGTATTACCAATTTACCAATGTCTTTCTTTTCTTCTTTTACCAGTTCAAGGAGATGGGTTATTTGCCTCAGGCTATGGTGAATTACCTTGCATTGTTGGGATGGGGTGATGGCACTGAAAACGAATTTTATACCCTTGAGCAACTAGGTGAGTTGCCTTATTTTTAGTGTTGCTCATTTCGAAACTCCACGGAAGCAGTTTCAGCGCTCTATACCATGTGTCCCCCAACCCCCCCCTGGGGTTAAAAAAAATACTGTTGCTCATTCATCTTTCATCTTTGGGGGTGAAG